CCAAATCAGTGTCCTGTTGGGACCTGGACATGCCCCCACCCTCAGCTCAGCACTATGAAAGGGAAGAGAAGGCTGTTATAGTGCTCCCCAGCTTCTAGCCTGAGCAACTGCCTGCATTTCTTCAGTCCAGAGGGGATGTCTCTTCATCTAAAAACCACTTTAGCCTAGCGAGGTTAGACTAACCTGAGAAGACTGAATCAATTCAGGCTCAGAGTTTTTTTAATGTCTGCCCCTAGCTCTCCTGGCTGAAGAGCACACTACTAAATGCCTTTCCAGTGACTTTTCAGTGCTCCAACCAGGGGCTACTGCATGACTGTACACCCCTCACAATGCTATAAAGTGCTGTAGCACTTACAGTGCTACAAAGGGATGTCTCTTTGTGGCTCTAGAGCCAAAACATGAGGCAGCGGGTGAGTAAAAAAGAAAGTATCTGGGGGCCAACAGCTGAGGGATGCCAGGGGTAAGGGCTGAGAAAAGAAATGAACCGGGAGCTGGATAGAAGCTAGGGCCTGGATGAATGAGAATACTGGGGGAGCATCTAAATCAGATAAAGAACAGGCAGTAGTATGGGAAAACTAGTACCAGTGGTGGTAAGAAAACTAGAATAGGAGCCTTGAAGGAAGTCTTAGACTGAAAACAGGGATGGAGAGAGAAAGAAAGAGGAAAAAAACCCTGGAATTTACACAGGAAACCCAAAGTAGGAGATAAGGATTGGGATAAGAAGTACTCTTAGCAGTACAAAAGACAGAAGCACAACGTATGAAGGAAGATTCTAGGGCAGAAATCTCTCATCCTTCCCTCACTAAGCCAAATGCAGAAGGAGCAGCAAGCAGTTACCTGGACAGCATGTGGCATGGAATGAAAAATGTTCTGGGACCTGTACTTCTCTAGAGTGACGGTGGAGTTCTTGGATGCTGAGGGGAAATTTCCCTCCCCCTTCCCTCCCCCAAAGCCCACACAAGGAGGAAAAAAAGCTACTGATTTTGGCAGCAAAAAAGCAATAAATACCCCCCCACCCCCACCCCAGGAGTAGTGAACTGTACTGCCACTAGAGAACTACTATTCCCAGAACATACAGCCAGGAAGTGCAAGCCAAGCGGGGACTGGAACAGTAGGCACTGCTCTCTTTAGGCAGCACCTGGGGCACGTGCCCTACTCACTCATCCCACGTTATGCTACATTATGGCAGAAGAAATCAGGCAGCAGTGTGCTTGTGGCAAACACTGTCTGAAAGGTCTGTGGCCAATAGAGTATATGCCTTCCACCTAAGGTTTCCAAGACTCAAGATTCATCAGCTATCTATTAAACCCAATGTCAAAGTATAAGATGTTTCACCTCCCTCTAGTGTGGCTGTTCTACGTGGAGGATAGCTCCCAACTACTCCTATCAGTTGCTCCATTATCTTAAGTGGCAGACAACTGGGCTATGAATCTAAAAGTTCCAGCCCTATAGATGTCCCTCGTGAGTGCTTCCATATACTGAAATTTCAGATGCAGGAAGGGGGGGTGGTATTTATTTTACCATTATGAAAAATTGACTATTAAAATAAGTTTTTAAAACCCTAAGCTAAAAGAGCTTAAGTTTGCTAAGTCAAGCACTCAAAAATTAGGAAATGTCAAAATTCAGGTTTTCCATGCAGCCTTAAGTAATTTCCCTTGGGCAATTTTAATCTGCCATTTCTTAACTTTCAAATGCTTGACTTTGCAACCTAATTCTGCTTTTAACTTGGGGGAAGGGTGAGAGGGAAGGGTTTCTGTGTGTAATATATATTTCAGGTATCTAGAGAAGAAGTACGCTCTTTGCTTTAATATATTCCAAGTGAAAGATGGTTTCATTGCTTCTGGAAAATGACTTGGACATGTGCTGTCTACAATGCTTTTTCTAATGTATTCACATTATTCTTAAAAGGCTATTAAAAAGAAGCAGCTAAATTAGTCAATTCAAGATTTGCACTCTGAACTCAAATTCCACCTACAGAACCTGAATATCAATTGCATATATGGAAAAATGAGGTTGAAGAAAATAGAGCAATCCTCAAAACTGAAGAGGAAAAAGCATAATCACCAGAATAATGTCACAGTTTCTAAATTGTGTGTTATTGTTAAGTATAAAGAAAATGAAGTTTAACAATGGATATTTTGCATGGTGAAAAAATTTGTAGCCCAAGTATCACTTCAACTGAAAATGTTGACCTTCACAAGATGCCATTCATATAAGAAAAAGAGAAAATTGGATTCTACAAAAAAGCTTGGCTACTTCTAGGAGTTCCTGCTGCTTCTGATTTTATCCTGTCATTGTATGGCAGGGTTTGCAGTGATTATTTTGGAGAATTCTTGGTTAAACGGTTGACTGTGAATCCAGAAGAGCTGCATGAGCCAATGGAGCCCTTCCTGCCCAACACTGCTAAAATCAAAAGCAAAATTTACACAGAATCCAGGGAGATGACATGTCAACTTGGATAACACAAGTCAGTGTAAAAAAGTCTCATTCTACCAATCCTATTCATATGACAAATCTCTACTGCTACTGGAAACTTAACAGAAAGTACACGCACAAGTAAAAACTAGCATCAAAAAATCTTTTCTTTTAAAAATGATTAGTTGTGCCATTTGCATGGTTGTACAACTTGCTGTGCACATTTTAAACCACTAGGTTAGCATGTAATTAATTCAGCAGAAATAAGTAAGCTACATTCAATTCATACTACAGAAGCAGCAGTTTCTTAAAGACAATCATAAGTGAAGCAACAGAACCCTCTACTTATATTTCTGTGATGGTCCCAGGTTAAAAATCCTTTATTCTATAAATTTTCTGTTTAAAAGTTACCATACTGAAGAAGAACCAGGAAAGTGGTTTAATATGAGCTATGCTGACTCCATGCAGAATGCACATATGTATGAATGTACACACGTGCTGTGCATTCCTAAAGCACATGAACATAAGCCACACACAAACGTGCATGCACGCACACACACACACTTACACACATCCCCATCCTTGACCATTCAACCAATATACTGGACCCTTTTGTCCTTTTTAGGCTTACAGCTCTTTGGGCAGAGACTGAAGCCTTCTTTCTCTTTGGAAGACATAGAAACTATCAAAGATGGTAATTCCAATAATGAATGCATGTCTATGTGAAGAAATGGGGTGAAATCGGAACATTTTAATATATTTTAGCTCTCTAATTTAAAGACAGGAGCCAAAGCACTTACCCCATTATTTTCTTGTACCAATGGGCAAACAAAATGTTTAAACACACACAGAAAACATTTTACTTGCTTATGGTTCAAACCACAGAAAACTATAAGAGTTTCAAAAGTGTTGTTGTAATCACTTGTAAGCATTGGGCTGTTAAGACTAATGTCCCTCTTGATACTTGACCAAGCATATCACAAATAATAATACAAGTCCATTAACTTGTCTTAATGAAAGAATCTAAGGAAACAGTGATATACTGTAAACAATCTACTGAATGGCTTTTGCTGAAATGTGCATGATGGCTGGGGAATTCACAAGGGTATGCTTTACTTTGTTTTGTAAGTATTATTAAATCAATTAAATTAATTAAGCAGACAATGCCATGTAAAAAAAAGTTGACTGAACACATTCAGTTTTATAACTATTTTTGATTGATTACAAATCAGCTGTTATCATATGCTATGTAACACTTTTTTTTTTTTTTTTTTTTTTTTTTTTTTTTTGAGGTCCTACTCACATCTGCGTGGTCTATGGGCCTTGAATCTGTTCTGTGCAGAGTTTTTTTAGCAGTTAACTTTTGGAAAACAAGCCTTGATTATATTCCCTTTTTAAAAATTATTAGGCCACCTCTTAGAACAAGAAATACTAAATATAGCTGGCACAAATTTTGAAAACTATGTACATAAAGTTAGGTTTTAAAATCTTTATTTAGGGACTGAAAATGGTCCAAGTTCCAAAGCTCAGTGCAGATACTCAGCAATTTTAATTTTTTTTATATTAGGACCTGAAATTGGCTTTAGGTACTTAACTTTAAAATGCCAAAGTTGAAACATTTTGATTATGCCTGGGCTGAAAATCAAATCTAGATTTTAGCTGAGATCCAATATTTAGATTCTATACATGGACATTTATAAGACAATTATACATTTCATTGTATAAAATCTAATTACTGGGGGGGTCGTCTTAAACTTAGGATCATCTTGGATTCAAGTAAATACAGTAATTTGACTGTTTCCTGTAGCATCAATGACAGCTTTCCCATGTGTCAATATTGATCATTCCAACTTAAACCAATGGCAAGTACACATATCACTGATGCATATTACTTACACTGATACATATTCCTTGTTTTCTTAGAAAAGATGGCATGCACTGCTTGCTAAAATTATTCAGTATATCTCGTTGCCTAGTAAGGGGCTGCTTGTTATTTTATAGAACTTCTATTTTATAGTTCAAATGTTGATTTCAGCAAACATTTACAATATGCTAAGCACTGAATAAACATACCATTTCAGTATTCTACAAATTAACAAAATTTACTGGCAGAAAGATTTCTCTCTCGTGCTAGTTAGTCTAAATTTTAATTTAATTAAGTTTATATCTTTACTCCTAATTATATCCGCTTGTGTTATGTTAACTGATTCCTTGGTTTCCTTTGTATATAGCACTGTTATATATGTGCTCATTGCTGTTTCTCTGTCAGATAAGGTAGGTTTATTTAATTTTTAACTCAATTAATGCAAGTTATTCCACCCATTCCATTAACCTTTTGGCTGCATCTGGTTCTTCTCAGAACTCTCTGATTCTCAAACTGTACATAAAACATTCCAGGCAATCATACTAGAACTGCAGTGTGGGATTTCCCATGAATCATGAAGGTAACATAGCTGAAATCATACAAAAGATATCACAATCCTATCCTGTTATAAAACCTCTTCCTACATGCTCTTAACCAGAGTACCTGAAGTTCTGAGATATTTAGCTCTAAATTGGTTTACTTTCATGTAAATATTACATACCTGTAATATCTCTGTATGGCCTATAGCTCCACTTGTCTCATTTGAAAAAGAAACCATGTGCTCTGGAAAAAAACTCTGTTAAAATACAAAATGTTATTAATAAACATCTACAAAAGCCACTGGTGTAACTAGGGGTGGGCAAGAGGGGCACTGTCCCCAGGCGCCAACTTAAAAGGGGTGCCAGAATTGCCCCTCACTTTCACAGAGTCCACCCCCTGGCAGCAAAAGCAGCCCCATGGCATTGCTCTCATACCAACACCTAGATGCACATACACTGTGCTGCTACTCTAAGAGCAAAAGCCAGGACTAGTGGACCATATTGTGGCTGTGGCAGCAGCAGCTGGGGACTGCTTTTGAGTCCCTGACATAGGTAAGACTCCTGTGAGTGCCCCCGCCCTCCCCCTCCCCCACTCAAAAACCCCAGTACTTCCACTCTTCCAGGATTTACTCAGGGTGCAAACCCTGCTCATTACATTTTCAATAAAAGCAAATACAAAATTTCAGATTTAAGCTGGGCATAAAATTAAAACTATCAACCAAGATACACCAGAACATTCTCATTCCCAAAGGATGTAGGAAAAAGTAGGGAAAAGACACTGAAATAGCCTTGCGTTTGGCTATCTTGTAAATTCATCTGCCAAGTTTGTGAAGGGAAACAAGACACTTTAAGGATTGACGGTAGTGCAAGGCAGATTAAGGTCTTCTTTTAGTTTGTCAGGCACACCTCCCCTCAGGCCACAGTGGCAGACACTGGGAAGGGCAGGTCAAAAAGCAGGTGCAGGATGGAGGGCCTGCCCCTTGCTGCTACTGTCTCCAGATGATCCAGGCACATGGTGGAGCTCCAGAGCCATTCCTCTTCCCACACAGTACTTGATGGGCAGAGGAGTGGCTGCAGGGAGCAACTGCTGCCAGATGTGGCTAGGAACAGCAGTGGCAATAGGGAGGTTCCTCCTTCCTGCACCTGCTGCTTACACTATCTCCCTACTCCTTTCTGTGCCCACTGTCTGTTCACCTTCTTGCTTCTCTCTTTTTTTAAAGGAGTAGGTGCTAGAAAGAGAAACCCATCCACCATCACTACCAGTGTTCCTGGTTGAGCCCGACTTCCTGAACATCTGCTTCCGGTAATCCACAGGTGGAACAGGGCGGGAGTGGCTCAGGTTTCTCCCATGTCTGCATCAGCCAGGGACTGTGGCAGTGGTGGCAGAGGAGGATTTTTCTTCCTATGCCTGCTTCTGAGCAGCAGGGGGAAGGATGGGGATGGTAGGGAGCAGGAGATCCACCAGCTACCGCTGCTGTCTCGAGCTGAGCCCAGCAGCCTGTACAGCTGCAGTCCCTTTCTGCAGCAGCTTTGGGGCTCTCCCTATACCTGGAACAGCTGGGGAAAGCTGAGGCAAAGGGTGAATCTACACACCTCCTGAGCCTGCTCACTGCCCAGCTCCCTTGTGTCCCCCACCAGCCTGGGGGCTCCAGCTATAGGGAGAGGATATGCAAGTTTTCAGGCTCAGGCAAAGACAGTGGCGAGTGTAGCAGAAGCAGAGGGCAACCCCAACTACTGTACCCCACCTGGATGCACCCCTACTAGTTAAGCAGAAGGACATATAGACCAATGCATTAAAATGGAAGGTTTTGTTATAGTTTGTACGGAATTTTCCCTTCAATAAAAGAAAATAAGTGGAATAAACTGCCAAAATATATGATTTATATTTAAAAAGTTCAATTAATGTATTTTTATTTATTTTCACTAAGAAACAAACAAGCCTTCTTTTGGTTAATTGTGAACAGTTACTTTATATGGTACAGATATGAATGAAAACACACTATAATAGCTATACTATGGATCAAAACCTCAGCTGAGGACTTCAGGTTAGCTATGCATATTTATACTAACTGAGGAGTTGCCCTGAAATCCAAATATTATAAACCAGACCTTACAAAAGGCTGAAATGAAAATTCCTCCAAAGTAGCTGATGATATATTATATTTAGGATTAATTAAAAACATATACATTTCTGATTCCTTTGAAATGAAAGGAATTTTGATTGGAGTCATTCAATTCCTATATACGCATCTTGGCCAGTTAGTCAGTGGCAATCTATATTTTTCGTACAGCTTCATGGCTGTTTTGCCAACAGCACTGATCAGCCAAAACTGAAAAGCTGGAAACCTTCTTCCATGGCTCACCCTCTGAGCCTTCATAAACATCAAATAATTTAGTGACATCTCTATGAAGCAGAGAGATAGAAAACTAAGGCATAAGAGATTAAGTGATTTGCCTGAGGCAATGAATGTTGACTATGAGCAGAACTTAGATCTCCTGTGTCTTTCAGTGTGCATCCTGCATTTTTGCTCGTGTCATTTGTCACTTAGTTACATCTTTGACAAATATGATAGTTGATGGATTCTCCCTGAATTGCAAATGTAGAGGAGAGATTTACTAGTGTCCCATGACTTGATGAAAACTTCCTTCAATTCTCTGAATTTCAAAAGTTTCAAATTTTTTGAAATTTAAGCACAAGCCTAGGAAGAAAGTTAAATAGATTCTATGTGAAAAGGGAGTATTTTTTCAGTCCCTTACTGAGTCTAAGGCTCCCTTATCAAAGAAAAGACCAGACCAGCAATACCTGAATAGTTAAGTGTGTGTGTGTGTGTGTGTGTGTGTGTGTATATGTGTGTGTGTGTATACACACACTTAAATATATACATATAAAATTTTCCCAACTACCCTTCTGCTTTCCTTTCTCAATATCTTTCTCCTATGTGATTAAAATTAATTTCTTATAGGTCATGTTACTTAGTATTAGAGCAATTTAGATGTCTTATAGATAATGGTAAAAGTTAGGGGACAGAATGGCACCTCAGAGACTTTCAAAGAGGCATGAATGTGCAAAGGCAATAGGTTATTTCATCATATGCTCCCAGTGCACAGATAAGTGTTTCATGACTTACCCCTGGGTTTTTAAAAAACTCGTATTTGGCATAATTTTTCCTAAAGTAAAGTCTGTTTTCCTCTTCCATTGCCCAGTTTGACAGAACTTCCATCACCAATTCATGGTCTTCTAGAGCTCTTTCTGTAAAGTAAAGAAAAATATATAGCTCTGTACTAAAGTCCACCTGCATAGTGATTATGAAAACTTTTGAGCTCAGACAAATTAAAACTAATCTTTCTTCAACAGTAACTAGATAACTGGAATGCATTGTATTCATTAGGTTTTATCACCAAAATCATTGTTCTAGACAGTGCTCAAATACTGTGTTCCTAAAACATAACTGCCTGCAACAGGGTAAAACAGCTCATTTTATCTTTTACTTCCTTCCTCAAACACTAACATTTTAAAATCTCTTCCAAATTGGAAAACAAGGCGCTGGCTCTCCAAAAGCTAAGCTATTACATACCACAGGGTTGTCAAACTTCTAACCAGCTAGAGGCAGCATGCCCTGCAAGCTGATCAGTAGGAGACATGGCCCCTGAGGATAACCACTGCAGCATACCCCCTGATGCACTGCCCATTCTGGTGCCCCGCCCTAGCACACACACTGCACTGTGCACTTGAGTACCCATCCTCCCACTGCACTGCATGCCCTGATGCCACCCCTCTGCTGCAGTACACACCAGGAGGTCCCCTCCATTGCACCACGGATCTGGGCACCATGTCTCACAATAAGTTTCCCAGCCACAGGGTCCCCCACTGCTCTCCTTCTCTTTCAGGTTCTTTGGGCTTTGGTGTGCACCTATCCCCTGGGGCAGGGAAGGAGAAGCTGGAGGGAGGGGGAATCTGGAGATCCTGGCTGCTTCTGGACAGCCTCGACATACCATATTACAGTGGTTCTCAACCAGGGTGCCATGGCATCCCAGAATCTTTCAGGGATTCCTCGGCACAGGTCCCACAACTGCCACCAGTGTATCTGGTTGGAACTGCCCCCATGCCTCATACAGAGCCAGACTGAGAAGGACTGCAGCATGAGTGACTAAACCATTGATATAGAATTGAAATCCCCATCTTTCAATAAAAATAATATACACTTTGAAAGCATTCTGATTTCAATGAGACTATTCATGGTATGCAAAGTTAAGTACACATATAATTCTTGCAAGACTGGGATTAAATTTGTCATTTCTGTATAATATTAGGATAGCTCTCTTTGAAAAACTTAAATACATTTTGTAATATCCATGCTATATTGGAAGTGGATACATGCTTCAAAGTTTAGTGGACTACTTCTACATTGGAAGGAACTTGAACTAGTGAAGACAGCACAATTTATTTTTAATTATGAAAGTAGCCAAAAATCTGTAACTTTATTGAATCAAATTTAAGGGATCACTAACACCTTCAGTTTAAAAATTAAATTCCAGTACACGACCTAGTCATTTAAGTTATCAGACCTGTTCTTATGCCATTCTGTTCCAATAGTAGTCTCGTTAAATCTCTTTCTCCTCCCAGTATTGCCAATCCAAATGAAAAAAAAATAAAAAAAATGAAAAGCTAAATATAACCCCTTTTTAAAATTGCCTTCTGGCTTTCTTCAGCTTTCAAGATGATCTCAAGCCCTGCTGTCACAAGGGCTAAAATCTTTTTTCTTCTTTTTTTATAAATAGAGAAAAAAAAGAATGAATACTGTGATACTTATGTAGACTCTTGAAACCAAGAGTCTTTAAAGAAAGTCACTAGATATCTTGAGAGACTCAATGAAATTGTGAAACCTGGCAAAACTGCTGTCTAGTACTGTACAAAACAAAATGATTGTATATGCAAAACAATGAAGCTGGAAATGTACAAATATACATATTACATTCAAAATGTTTTTCTGTTGACATGTTTCAGAAGCATCAGAATTAAAAATTGTCCTCTTAAATCAAAGTTTACTATGGCACTGAGAAAATGTGAAGACCAAGTTTTCAGATGATTGGGTTTTCTACTTAAGGCACTTGGAAAAAAACTTAACTTTCAAATAGTATTCTGCATCAATCCTCTGAATATCTGATCCTCCTAAGGAGCTTCACATTGAGCCCACAGAATCTGTATATATTTTTTGAAGATATTGGTCCGGAAAAATTAAAGGACTATGACAATCTCATTCCAACACTGGCCTTCACCATTTGTGATAATTCAACACCCAAACTATTCACCTACTGAAGAGGCTCACCTACCTCTAAGATAGGGATGGGATGGGGAGCATCTGGCCCACAGGCCAGATCCGGTCAGCTGCCCTTGCCCGCATGGCTTGTGCTGGTCTCCATGGAGGCCCCAGCTGCACCTGCGTGGGAAAGCTCAGGCTGGGATTGCCATGGAGACCAGCCTCTCCCATGCCAACAACCCGCACAGCAAAGCAGCACAGGGGGCTGCTCTGGAGCTTCTGGGAACGTGGGATGGGGGCAGCTTTCTCCAGAGCCAGGGCACAGCCATGATCTGTAGCCTACACGCTGCGGGCAGGGGTGCCAAGGCAGGGGATCATGGCTCTGCTCCGGCTCCTTGCAGCAGTGACAGCCTGGTCTGCCACTTGCAACAACATCCTTCCCCACAGCTGTGTGCCTGCCAGACCCGGATGGGGAATGCACAGCTGCTTGGACTGTGATATGGACACTACAGCAGAGCCACCTGCACCTCCGAGTCAGCTGCCAGTGGGCCATGGCTGCACAGTTGGCCTTCATGCGGCATTGGCCCCGCTCTGCCACCTGGGCAGCTATTGCCTGAAAGATGCGGTCATTGTAGTGGCCCACTCTGAACTGTCAAAGTGTGTCGTCCTGGCCCCAAACGGCCAGGAGATCAACCACCTCATGCACCCTCCAGCTGGGTCCCTGGTGCCAGCGCTGGGCAGGCTCCTCTGCCCAGATCCTGCCACTTGCCTCACCAGCAGAGATCCTTGTGTTCCCTGTTTAAAAACTGCAAATTCTCTTACAAAAAAATCCTGAATCCTGCATTTTTCCATGATTAAAATGAAATACTAGGAGAGAGAAACAGAGAGAGATCGATCAGTTGGGCAATATTTTATTGATATATTTACATTTTAAAGCAATTTGGAAGCCTACCAGTGCCTTAAATCATATAATAAATAATAAAATAAATTATATATATCTATATACTTTGGAGTTTACATTTGGTTTTTTTTATCATAGAGAAGCATAGTTCCCCCTGCTGCCTTCACTCACCAAGATGCAGGTCAGGCTGCAGCTGTCCTCACAACTGCTTTGTGGCACTGAGAAGCACTGAAATGCCAGTGCCCTGCCCATGCATTTGCCCCTCACTACCAACCCACAGCCCCGCTAGTGCCACTCACTTCTGACCTGGAGCCCCTGCCTGCCTCCCACTCACCCTCCTGGCAGCAGCTCCCTCCCTGCACCAGGACACGGGTCCAGCTGGATGTGTCCCACCCACTGCATTGTGGCTCTGAGCAGTGCCAGCCTTTGGTGTTCTGCTCCCTGCACCTCTGCCTAGGCCCCAGCAATCCCTATGACCCTCCTGGGAAGCCCTTGACTGGGGCTCAGCGGCTGGGCAAGTCCCTTGCCTTCCAGACCAGCCTCCCCTGCACAGGCTGCTCCAGGGGGGCAGGAGGGCTCCAACCCCAGCTCTGGTGGCCGCTCCTACCTGGAGTACACCCCTTCACATCTCTCTCTCTCACACGCACACCACAGTGCTGCCACCCCGGCCCATGACATACACCCACAGACCCTGCTGCCAACTCAAACCCAACCCTATCCATCATCCACCCCTGTTGCCACCTCCCCCATCCCCCTTCTAGCCCATCAACACCCTCACCCCTCAAGTGGTTCTCAGGACCAGGAGTCTCCACAGGCTGGGGTCGCATGTTGCTGCACTGGTGTGGGCACAGGGCAGGCCTACAGTGCATCAGTTGCCCATGTGACCGCAGCTCCCACCCACCTGGCAACTGGGCATGCAGGGTGCAAAATTTGTGGGAGGGGGGTTTGTGAGGGAATTAAGTGTGGGGTTTGTGGGTGTGGAGTTTATAGGAGGGTGTGGAGAGGTTCATGGAGGCGGTTGTAGGTGTGGGGTTTATAGGAGTGTGTGGGAATGTATGCAAGTTTGTGTAGGGCCCCCCCTTCATGGCACACAGCCCCCAGTGCTGGTGGCAGCACCTAGCAGTGCACCCTTGGGGTGCTCATGTACTGCTGCACAGAGGCCTCCAGCAGCACATGGCTCTGCCCAAGTCCCAGAGGCTACACCTGGTGCACAGAGCCAGCCCATGCTTTACTCCAGAATTTATCTTCTGTTATCATGGAAAAGCACTGAAGAGTGAGGTGTTCTCTCAAAATATTTTTTACCAGGTTTACAGACAGTGAGATCTCTTCTGGCATGAAATGTAAACTCCTAAATTCTTGGCACTGTGAAGTTTAAGAAAATACCATTTCCTGGAAACCTACTACTTAGACCAATAACAAGACATAGTGCATCACCCTCATAGATGGGGAAAAAAGGTTGGCAAGGAATACAAATTCTACCCAAAAGATCTTTAACACGGTAGATTATATAGAATATTTTATATGAATTCAAATTGCATTGTAAAGGAAATGAAGTATTAACAGAGAACTATGTTTTAAATCATAATCCTGTAATCAGATTACTTTTCCTTAACAATACTGCAATTCCTGTCCTGAATGTGAAGGAGGACTTTGAAGACTATATAATCTAATTGTACAGCTCCTACGAATTATGTAATTGTTTCTGAGAAAGAAACCCATAGAAAATCATTCTACTTATGGCATAATGTATGTAAAACATTCTGAAATAAAGTAAGTCTCAGTACCACAGTAGAAAGATCCTATAACCATTTTAGAAACAGGAGAACTGAGGTGAGGTGATCCGAGCAAGGACCACCTTAATGATATGAGGAAAGATGTGTGAATAAATTATTTTTTTCAGTTCTCTGGAAGTTCAGAAGGGATGGAAGGGGGGGAAGAAAATTGATTTTGAGGTCAACCTGAAGATGAGGTAACCAAAAAGTATTTGCTTTGGGTCAAAAAAAATTCTGTTTAATTTTTGGACCTTTTTAATTAAAGGAACACACTTAAATAGTTAGTTGCATTTTAGGCCTCTGGCAGATGTTAAACTTAAGGAGGAGGAACTGGAGCTCATATATTAGGATGTTTCCTGGCTTGTCCTTTGGGGTCTGTTCTAGGATTCTATTCTTGTCTGGCAACTAACTGGCTCCTCTTTAGACATGAGGCTCCTTCTGGGATTCCCCCTGTAGGGGTCAAAAGCTCAGCATAACTTCCAGGAGCAGATCAAGGGGCAGTGCATTAGAGCGATCACATTGCCACAGCAGAACCAGGGTCTACAATCTCCAAAAAGGTAAGTACTCCCCTGTGCTCAAAAGCATGGCTCCTTCCCTTTCCTGACTGTCCATGCTGTCCCTGGGGCAAGAGAAGGGACACAATGCCCTTCCCAGCGAGCAGGCATGTTCCCCCTGGGTGTTCTCTGCACCAGCCCAGGAGCAGGCGGAAATGTGCCACCTGCTGCAGCTGCAGTCACAGGTGAGCACAGCCTGGCTGAATTGTGACAGGAGCTCCCCTAACCTTGGAACAGTGCCAGCAGCAGCAGGCAGGGGAGTTGGGACTTAAGTCCTCAGCTGCTCCTACTATGCTATGGGGTGAGGAGAGGAAGGGGGCACAGACAGAAGGCTGGGAGTGGGGGGTGCAACCCCCCTTTTTAAAATCCTGTATCCATTTCTGATAGCTTCTACATGAGAGCCAAGATGCTCTAGGAAGAAGGAAAACCAGAAAAGATACCAGATTTCTTGCCATGAAACTACTATTCTGCACAAGTATGGGACTATTCTTTTTTTGAGATAGATTGGACTGAGGGAGTAACTGGAAGAATATTTTAGCTTAACCCACAAAAACTCCTTAGACAGGAGAAAATGTTTTTTTTAAGGTCCAAAAACTGAAAAGTGGCTTAAGGCCTCTTCTCAAGGCAGAGTCCCAGGAGGAGTCTCTACATTTGCAAGGTAAGCCATAGTCTCTCCAGCAACCTGGACAAAATAAAGTAAGAGCCCTTGGACTACATGTAAGCCTGGATTCCACAGAAGGGGACTTCTGTCATACTCTGTCTATATCACAGGTGGAATACAATTTCCATGCTATATTTTGATGACTTTACCAAAGTGGAGACAGAGGTTGGCAGACAATCCTGGTAGGGCACAATCCTAGGGAGCAAAAGAAAAATGCAGATAGAATACTGTTCATAACTTGCCCAAAATTTGGCTTAAAAATTCCAAGATAACAACAGCAAGTAATATGGAAGTTACATAAATAGAACAGAAGCCAAAAGCAAAGAACCTATAGAGAAAACTGAAGGGCTCGGACCAGATCCTGGAGTTCTGCAGACATGCCTGAGATGCCTTCAGTATTTTCAGGAAGATAGCTGTTCCCCAAGCATCTAACTTGCGGATACCTGAGAAATCCAGAGGACTTTTTGTTAGCTGTTGTGGTAGTGATAAGTAGTTGCTTGGTGACTGAAAGATCAATCCTTTAGTCAAGTTGTTTTTAAGGTATCTGAACAGGCCATTTATTGCATCAGCGCCTGCATGAGATATATGGTGCTGCACACAATTTTTTTCTCCTACTATAACCCTAATTATGAATTAAAAGCCATAGCTGAAAAAGCATAAAGCTCATAACATGCTAGGATGCAAGAGCTAATGTTTATTCTCTTAAAATAAATAGAGTATACAAGGAACAACAGTGACATCCGGTGGATATTAAAAAAAAAAAAAAAAAAATCACACATCTGCGATGAGCCTGTTCAAAATGTATTGTTGGTTAAGCCGCCAATATATACAACTGAGGAAAGGCTAACAATTATCACTAATACTTACGATGCAAAATCAAATATTGGCATTTGCAATGTATAACTAAGATTTTTAAACTGCTTACTGTTTTTAAGCTTGTATTAAAAGATGAGGAGTCCCAGAGTCTGAAGTAATTTCTGATAAATATACAACCTAAGTCCATTCCACCTTGAATGTGCAGATGGTTATTCAAATATCTCTATCAAAAGCTAACAGCCTACTCCAATGATACTATGGTAAAAACATTTTATAAATAAAATGACTTTTGAATATTTAAAATAAAGAAATTACCATATTTAGATCACTATGATTACTAGGATCATCTCTTATTCACAAATATTTGGACAGCTGTTGGATGCTAGAGAAAAATTGTCTTAATCAATTCATAACTTTAAGCATGAATTATTTCTCATCCAAAATTTTGCACTACAAACTAGCTTTTCATCATGTCCTATTTAAAGGGTTTCAGTCATTCAGCTGGAAGAAAGAAAAACACCAGAGACTTAAAAGGATAAACTATATAACAATGATAAATGAATAGCAAACAGTCCAAAAACAAATTATAGTTAGAAAGTTATTCACCCTAGCTATTCATTCATTAATGAAAAATACATTTGATGAACACAGATCAGTTCACAATTACTTCACTAACCAAAATGGGGTCTGAATTTGCATTGTAAGTATTTAAATCAGCTGTAATGTTTAAACATTCAAAAGCAGATAGTGTAAAGGAGAAATGGAAGAGTCGTCTCCATGATTAAGTATTATCTGCCTCCTGTGCCAACTGGCAATGCAGATTCCTTAGAAAGGAAACTTATGAGGAAAAAGATAAGAGTTCACCTCCATCAGCAATCTGCTGAAGTCAATAGTGAGTGCAGTAGTCATGATGAAACTCTCTCAACCTTGTTCTCATGAAGAAATAGTCATGTCTCCAAACATTCTGCTTTGCAGGACATGCCTATGAATTCCTTTGAATTCAACCATACTAGTATTTGAAATGTGGCACGAAAAGAACACATGCATTTAAAGCAAAGATTGCTCCAGTTCAAATATCTTAATACCTGGACTAAAGGATTGATCTTTCAACCACCAAGCAACTACCCATCACCACCACAATGGCTTAAAAAAGTGCCATCTGAATATCCCAACAATGCCATCTCAAAAATTTCATCAGGTTGCCCTGGGAGTGGCACCAATACCGTGTTTTGCACAGAAATACTACCTCAGATCTTCTGCAAGATAAAAAATGTATATCAATAATTTTGATAAACCAGTAAACAATTTCAGTATCACATCTCAGGTTTATCGTTGTTCCCCTTAGTGATTCTTTTACTAGGCATTCTCTAGTTTAACACCAGTCACATTGTTAAATAAACACTTCTTTTATATAGTAGTATTGTCTAAAGCCATCCTTATACCTTCGCCTCTTGTAGCACAGTCAGTCAATTTACAATCCTGACCCAGATTTAACTCTGACCTTACTCTGAGATGGAAGCAGCTTACAACTGACACCCTGAGTGCAAAAGGTTATAAATATCTTTGAAATGCTGCAAAGCAGAAAAAACTTTTGTTTGAAAAACATTTGTGAATGTCTTTATAGGATAAAGGAGCAGTAAAGAGCAAAAACAATTTTAGCTTTGTAGTTCATCTTTAAAATACTACTGTTAAACATAATATAGTCCAAGGTGCAGAGTCAGCTTTATTCTACATATACACACATAGGGCCAGATTCTCCACACTGAAAAAGAACAATCAGCACAAACCCAAAGAGAAAACATAATAGTGGCTTTAAACCACATTTATGACTCCCTAGTCCTCAAGCCACTATGTAATAGTAAATGGCCCTTCCATGAGTCAAAGCATCTTTAAAAATATTTTCATTTGTACCTCAACCACAGCGGCCTTCCAGAAGCTGCAGGGATGTCCCAGTAACTCTTTTTCTCTACTCACACTCCTGCACAGGTAGGCATGATGCTGGTTCTAATGCAATCTAATGGGGGAGGCAGAACTATACTGCAAGATTTATCGAATAAATAAAGAAGAGTAACCATGATCTGACCTGGCTTCAGTTGTGTATCTGCTTGCAAAAAGGAAGTGTGAATTGCTTAAAATGAAATATATACTTACATTACATATTTGAGTTACAGTAGATTTCTCAGCCATAGCTCTTACAAAAGTTGCAATATAGAAAGTTAGTGCTCTACTGTTTATTCTGAAAAAGGTATTTAGAAAGTCTGGCTGGGGTAACTTTAAACCATTGCCTTTTAGGAATAGGCATCTACAGTAACTCCTCAGTGAATGCAGTTTTTGCTGTGTTATATATTTTAACCCATTTACAAACTCAGTAGATGACATGCCTTGGTTAGCTTCTCTTTGTATTGAAAAAATTTTAAATTATGCCTCCCATTAAAAAGGGAAGGAGACCAACACAGCACTGTAACTTGTATTTCAGGTTGCAAATATAAAGCCAGGACCTGTCAGATCATACATCTACTTAAGAAGAAATATTTATATTATATACAGCAATACCATGAGGGTTAAGACTTTGCCGTGACATTCATTTGAATCTCTTAACTTTGGTGGCTTAAAATCTTAACACTTATTTGATGAAGATGCTTTTATTATTATTATTTGTAATATGAGGCTTAGGAAAAGGTTATAATGTATAGATCTAAATTACAGTATATTTCAAATAAAAACTATACTAAACATACTATATTACAAACAGAAATTGAAAAAGCTACTTCAATAGAACAAAATGTACTTTAAAAGGACAGAGTCACACTGTCCAAATAAGATACGATCATGCTTCTCTTGTTGGTATGGCATTTCTTGACAAAACCTTCTCAGAAATTTCACCAGGTTGCACTGGGAGTGGCATCAACACAGTTTGCACTGGAATACTATCCCCATTCCTTTGCTAGAGGTAAGTAGGAAAAATACACAAGGGGAAAAACTACCCAAATAAAACCAAGAAAGAACCAGAAGTAATTTATCATAAAAATGTTAAGAGCCAGCATTCTAGAAAGCATTGTCCCAGATGCAAACATACATTATAACTGCACTTCACAATCCTTTCCTCCTCTTGCTCCAAACCCTCCTCTCACACACGCAACACACATGCACATGCACCAAAATGAATTAAACAACAAAATAAGTTATGTCTGGCTTTGCATCAAAATATTTCGGTTGCAACTTTGCTACATATAAAAGTGATAGTGCTTTTACAGCATGCACAGGATAAGCGTACCTAAACCTATTCGAGGAAGGTGTTCAAATATAGTCCAGCTGTGGTCATCAATATAATGATTCTTCAGTATTAACAACTGGCATACATCTCTGGCTGTTATATCACTTGGTACTTCCAAAGCTCGGCTAGTGTCATCTTCACTGTACACTTTTATTACCTGTAAAGAAAGAAAGAAAGCTAAAATGCTGTGACTGAGACAAGAACCTAAACGCACTGGATAAAATTTAACAAGACAAAAATGGCATATCCCCCTCTCTGACGGCCAGATCTACATGTTCTTATACAGATGATACTGCAAAGGATGAACAGTATGATTAAAAGATCCTGTAAACTTATATAAAACAGAAAAATGTGAGAAACCAGGCCTGAGTTAGCTGACAGAAAGGTGTTCTAATCTGTAGACACAAGTCTATAGAGAAAAAAAGAATATTATATTTGCCAGTATTTTT